TTTTGTCAGTATTGGATCGAAAATATGTAATTGAAAGACATTTTTTTATAGATCACCTGTATTTTTAATTTTTTCAAAAAAAGTCAAAAATTTATACCTATCAAATTTAAACGTTCAGTAAAATTATTCAATATTTTTTTTTACCTTTTAAAGAAACAATTTCTAATGTAGTAAATGTCTTAAAAAGCTATCAAAGTACCTCAACACACATAATTGTTTTTAATTTTTGGTTTTATTAGGATAAAATAAACAGTGTTTAAATTTGTCGAGACGTTTCGACACATTATTGGGTCTTTTTCAGGATACAAAAAATTACAAATTAATTAGTTTTGTTTTTATTTTTATTCATATTTTACAAATAATGTGAATAAAACAAGAACAGCCCATTTTCAAATTTCTCCGAAAAAAATAAAAAGAAATACGGAGTAATAAAATCGCCAGCCGAGGCGAAGCCGAGGCTAATAATGGCATCTAAGAAAATTTGTTAAAAAAAATAAACGAAAAAAAATAAAAGGACTTTGAGCCGATTTCCAAAACTCTAAAACTACGGCACTCCACATGAATTAAAAATATGTTCAAAAGTCATATAGGGTGTTTCCCCTACGTAAAATTTTAACGATTCACCCTGTATAAGTTTTTGGACGCTACCTCAAACAATAACGAAAATATTTTTGAAAAATTGAATTTTTTGGCCCAGTCATCTCATTTTTCATTTCGCTCAGTCATCTCAAAGGTCACTCGACCTGTCACCCCTTTGCTGAGTATTTATTCTGTGCCAGAAATGCGTGTTCAGCGAAGGGGGTGAGATTTTCGAATTGTGGAAGAGCCCCCCCGTGGACCTCTACCTTCGCGTCTACCTCTGGAACGTCACCAACAAGGACGAGTTCCTCAGCGGGAAAGACGACAAGTTAAAGGTGCAGGAAGTCGGCCCTTACGTCTACAAGTAAGTGAACAAATCTCGGATTACAATCCGTGACACAGATTCACTTTCCACCTTCTTCTTCTTCTTCAATGAAAAATAAGCATTATTCTCAAGGTCGCGCTCTCGAAAAACACTTTCCAATCGGGATGTGGCGCAACGAAAACCCAACCAAAAAAAAATAATCTAGTTTTGAGATAACTCAAATCGTGACGAAAATTTCAAAAAATAGACAAATATTCAGAGTGAAAGTTTTTGTTACGATCACAATGTGTTGCAAGCGGCACGAAATCCACGCCGGATTTAATTAAAGGACTCGTTCTAATTATGGACACGATTATTGAACAGATTTTGACCCCAATTCGACCAAAACTGCCAACTGAAAAATAAATTAATTAAAAATGACCAGGAAAAAAATAAAATGTCACAAATGCGAAAAAAATACACTGAGCGACACTAAAAATTGGCCTCTTTTAATGTCACTTAGTAGATTTACTTTTACTGCCTAGGCCCCAAAAATCAAATATTTTGTCAGGCAGTAAAAATGCACTTTTGCTGCTTAAGCTTTTAATTTAAAAAATATATGTTTTTTATGTTTGTTTATTTATTATTTACAGTAGTAATTTCAGAAAAATAAATTATGTTCAAATGGGAGAAAAAATATGATTCAAACGATTTTTTAGAACCAACACGTGTTTCGCCAACATAGTCGGCATCTTCAAGATCAAAAAAAATAATAATGAATAATAATTTAAAAAATGTACTTCTCAACGGGCAGTAAAAATGGACTTTTGCTGCCTAGGTTTTCACCGAAGGACCGTTAACTTAAAAAAAATGTGTAAAACTAATTCCAATTCCAAAAAAATTTCACCGAAATTCCAGTAATCCCAAAAAATTCCACCAAAATTCGAGTAATTCCATTTTTTTTTTCAGATTAATTCCTACAATTACGAATTAATTCCTGTAATTCTAAATTATTTCCTGCAATTCCAAATAGTTTTAAATAGTTCTAAGAAATTCAACTTAATTTTGAAAAAAATTATACATACAGGGTGCGCCAGAACTCGCGCCTCAGCGAGAAATGTCATATAAGGTACGATAATAGGAATATGTAAAAAAACATTTTGGCTTATTTTTGAAAAAAGTCAAAAGTAACGTGTTTTCAGCTTTTTTGACAAATTTTTTCTCTGGGACACAAGTTCTGGCGCACCCTGTATACCCTGTATAAGTGTCCTTGGCACTCCAAGTAACTCTGATATATAATTCCAAAAAAAATTCCAGTAATTCCAAAAAAAATCCAGTAATTCACACGAAATTCCAACAATTCACTGATAATTTCAATAATTCCAGATACTTCCAAACAATTCCAAAAAAGTTCCGATTAAATTCCAAAAATTTGTACAACTAATTCCAAAGTAAACAGCCCCTCGGTTTTCACAATTTGTGAAATGGGAAAGTAATAAAAATGTTAAATTTCATAAGATTCAATTTTTATCATAAGATTTAATTTTTAATTACAAAAAATGTCACAATTACTTATTAATTTTTTTAATTTTCTAGACTTTAAAAAAAATTATTTTTTGAAAAATAGGAGAAAAAACTAGCTAAAATAAATAAATTACAAAATGAACTTTAGTAAATATACAGAGTGATTAGAAATGCAACATCTTAAAAAACTTGTACAATTAGGTAACTTCGTGTTACATTTTTAGTGTCACTTAGTATATTCTGCATTTTTTGCTTTTATCAATGCTTAAAATGAAGATTAATCAAATTTTCACTTTTAACGAAAAATGTTTCACAAATTTTTCACGCTCAAATCGGTTTTCACTGAAAACAAAATTAATTTTTATATGTTCATAAAATTTAATTTTTAATTACACAAGTACTTATTATTTTTTTAATTTTCTAGACTTTAAAATAATATATTTTTTGAAAAATAGGAGAAAAAACTATCTAAAATAAATAAATTACAAAATGAACTTTAGTAAATATACAGAATGATTAGAAATGCAACATCTTAAAAAACTGTTACAATTAGGTAACTTCATGTTACATTTTTAGTGTCGCTCAGTATATTGTGCATTTTTTTGCTTCTATCCAAAATGCTTAAAATAAAAATTAATCAAATTTTCACTTCTAACGAAAGATTTTCCACAATCACGCTTCAAATCGGTTTTCACTGCCAACAAAATTAATTTTTATATGTTCATAAAATTTAATTTTTAATTACACAATTACTTATTATTTTTCTAATTTTCTAGACTTTAAAAAAATATATTTATTAAAAAATAGGAGAAAAAATTATAAAATAAATAAACCAGAAAATGAACTTTAGTAAATATACAGAGTGATTAGAAATGCAACATCTTAAAAAACTTTTACAATTAGGTACTTCATGTTACATTTTTAGTGTCGCTCAGTATATTGTGCATTTTTTTGCTTTAATCAAAAATTAATAAAATTTTCACTTTTAACGAAAAATTTTCCACAATCACGCTTCAAATCGGTTTTCACTGCCAACAAAATTAATAGTAATTTTATACAGGTCAGAGGTCACCTCCAACACGTTTTTCGTTTGTTCATCTCCCAACAAAAAACAATGATTTATTTTCTTTTACGTCAAAGCGTGACCATCAAAAACGATTTAATTGCCAAAAAGTGACAAAAAACTCATTAAATTAACAATCTGTGAATTTTTTCCCATCGCGGAATTCCGGATGAGATGAAGGTCACAAAAGTGTTACGAAATGAATTCATTACGTCACACTTGGGACGACTTTTACCCAAAAAAAAAAAAAATTGACAAAAAATTAATTTTTTAGGGAAATGTTTATGCACGAAAACGTGACCTTCAACGACAACGGCACCCTCACCGCCGTGCCCCGCCACCCCCTCATCTGGGTGCCCGAACTGAGCGAAGGCCGCCGCGAGGACGACCTCCTCATCTTACCCAACATCGCCCTATTGGTAAGTCCCACTTTCCTCCTCCCGAAAACAATGCTAAAAAGTCGCCTTTTCACACTGACCTTTTTTTACAAGGTGGAAACGACGACTTTCCGCATGAAAAACTAAGTAAATTTCCTGTTTTTAACTGAGATGAGTTATGTAACATGTGTTCACTTTCTTCATTGCTTCAGTCTGTTTATTCTAGTCTGGTTCAGTGGCACACTTGGCATAAATTGAGGTTAGGTCCTTTTTTTGACATTTATCGGACATTGACTTCGTTACCAACCTTGCAAAAAATAATTTTTCAATTGATGAAGGGATGTTTGTGATTCTCTAATTACATTAATTCGCTTTATCATTACTCTTCTTTAATTGTTTCCTTGAATAGTTTTCCTTTGTTGTTGCCATAATTACTGCGTAGCACAAAAAAAGTAAAAATCGTTATTAATGGAAAACAGCACCTTGAATTTTTTCCGTATTTGTTTTGCTTAAATTCTGGAAACACCAAATAAGTGACTATTGATTGGCGCTTATTTCATTGAGAAATAATTGGCTTTTGTAATTTTCAAAATTACAGTTTGAGAGTTAGAATTTTCATTTCCTACATTATTACAAACCACAAATAAACATTCGCAGTTTTTTATCATTATTTTAATCACGGACATTTCTCAGAAAATCGTTTTTTCCTTTCCATTTTATAATTGTTCGTTAAAAAAATGAAAAACAAAACCTTTCTAGAATAAACTAAAAGATTTGTCAACAAGAAATTACCATTTTTTTCATGTTGTTGGTAACTAGAATTTTCAGAAGTAATTTTAAACACCTAGGGTGGGAACAATGAAAAATATACAGGATGCGCCAGAACTCGCGCCCCAGAGAAAAATTTTGTCAAAAAAGCTGAAAACACGATATTTTTTCAAAAATAAGCCAAAATGTTTTGCAACTTAAAACTGAAAATATTTGCAAAATTTTATTATTATTTTTATTTTTCAAAATTTTAAGTTTTTTTTGTGGAAAATTCAATTATTTCGCAAAATTTTGCCAGAAATTATTCGCGAAATTAACAAGTCAAAAACGATATTATTTTTGGCCTTTCCAAGCGTTTAAGCACGTTTTTGTTCTAAAAACTAAATTTTGGTTTTACATTCGGCAAAAATACCAATATTTTTTGGGCGTTTAAGGACATTTTTGAGCTAAAAGTTCAGTTTTTTTTAGAAAATTTCTCAAAACCGAGCTAAACAATCATTAAATTAGATCGTAAAAAATCTTGTAAGTTTTTCAATTAGAAACAAAATTATTTCGCAAAATTTCGTCAAAACAAGGCCTAAAAACCACCACATTAAGTCAAAAATTTTGTAAATTTTGTAATTTTCAACTCTTTTTGTGCTAAGGACTCAGTTTTTTCGCTAAAATTGAGCGAAAAATTTGCCAAACTAGGCGGGAAATGACTTTTTTTTTGTAATCATTTGTCCCAATGAGAAAGAAAAATAACTATTTTATAAAATTTCGATAAAAAAGCAATCAAAAAACATTATCTAATAACGTGAATCTTAAAATTCTTTATTCTAATGAAAAATCAAATTTTTATAGATTGAATTTTTCAACATTTTTTTTAAATTTTATATTGGGGCGCGAGTTCTGGCGCACCTGTATGTATTAATTTCTTTTATATTTTTTAAACACAAACCAAAAAATGTAAAAAAAAAAAATTCCACACAATACTGAAGATAAATGATTTATGAAGCTCGAAACTAGTAAAACAACAATAGTTGGCTACTTAGTTTTAACGTAAAGCAAAATTCTTATGCTTTTTGGAGTTACTTTTCAAAAATCTTGCTAAATTTATTTATGGGTTTATTTTGTTTTTGGAAAAAAATTGAAAACAATATACCTATTTTTAATTATATTAATTGTTTATTATCGCGTATAATAAATCAAGTAGTAGAAAAAATTAAGTATCTATTTTTAGTTAAAAAAATATGAGTCAAAACCGAAAAAAAATTCTAAAATTAACCTGGCCCTAGATTTCAAAAGAGTGTGATAACTATAATTAATTTAAAAATATTTCGTCATGTATAAAAAATTCTTATGCTTTTTGGAGTTACTTTTCAAAAATGTTGCTAAATTTATTTAAGTTTATTTTGTTTTTGGAAAAAAATTGAAAACAAAATACCTACTTTTTATTATTTAAATTGTTTATTATCCGACGTTCTGTGACATCGCCACAAAACATCGATACTCAAAAAAAATCGATGTTTTTTATTGAAAAAATAAATCATTTACCAATTTTTTAATAATACATTTTTGGAACATAAAAAAACAAATACAAACATATTTCTTACAATTCTTGCATAAAACATAAACAAATACAATCTACAAATACAAAATTTAACAACCTACATCACTTCATCATCGTTAATTTTGTTAAAAAACATCGAATTTAAATTTTATCGAATAAAATTTTAAAATAAAAAAAAATGAAAGATAAAACATCGATATTTTTTGCCCATCTCTAACTAGGGTTGGCTACCCTTGTTGACGCTTGACGTTTTCTGTCAAAGGTGACTTAACCTAAATTTTGCCACAATTATATCTTTTAATAAAAAAAAATGCTTTTTTGGGGTTGCAAAGCTAAAAGACCCAAAAGCACACCAATTTTCACTTTAAATCTTGTGTTGCACAATTTTTCGATGAAAATTTCTACATTTTGACATTTTCTCTCGACGTTTCGAAACCGTTGTAATCTCTTCCTCAAGACCTGAAGCCCACCTTGACCAAATCGACTTCCTCCCTGCATTTTTCCTCCCATCTTTCATAATTCCCGTCCTTGTCGAATCGAAAATGTCAAATCGAACCTTCTCGAAGTGTATTTTACGTAAAGCGCGACACCGTTTCGCGCCAAACGATACTTGCTTCCAGCCCACTTTCTCGCCAAGTTCAACTCTTACTTTCAATTACATAAAACAAACTTGACCTGGGCTAAAAACGTATTTTATTCACAGAGTATAGCCCACGTGGTCTCCGACGAGTCTTACTTCACTAGAGTCGGCCTTAATCTCCTCATACGTCAAACCAAAACCGAGCCTTTGATTCAAATGACAGCAAGAGAATTCATGTTTGGCTACAAGAGCACTTTGATGACTTTGGGAAACAAATTCATGCCCAGCTGGATCTATTTTGACAAACTTGGACTCATCGATCGAGTAAGTTGCATTTTGACATTTGACATTTCGCTACCAACCTCACAACGAAAATCCCTAAAACGAGTGCTTTAATAGATGTACGACTTCGACGGGGATTTTGAGACAGTCTACACTGGGGAAGATGACGTCAGCAGAACCGGCCTACTTGACACTTATCGGGGCTCGACCAAGATCCCCCAATGGGAGAACCCATGTGGTAATATCAAAGGTGCCTCTGATGGTACGAAATTTCCGGGTTTTATCAAACCCAACGACACTCTTCTTTTCTTCCGGAAGAGTATGTGCAGGGCTAAAACCCTTGTGAGGGTTAATACCACCGTGGTTGATGGGTTAAACGCCTATGTTTATAATTTCCAAGAAGACGCTGATGATAATGGAGTTTATAACCCTGATAACAAGTGTTTTTGCAAAGATCAGAAGAAGTGTTTGCCTCCGGGGTTATTGGACGTCCATGGGTGCTACTACGGGTTTCCTATAGCCCTCAGTTACCCACATTTCCTGGGTGGGGACCCAATTTTGAACGCCAAGGTCATCGGGAGTAACCCAGATCCCGAGAAACATAAAACTTATTTTGCCATACAACCAGTAAGTAGTTTTCTTCACTTTCGTTTTTTTTTCTTATCTAAAAATGTACTTACGCTCAAAAAAAAACACAAAAATAACACCATTTTTAGCTTAATTTTGTGAATTCTGCGAAAGAATTATGTTTCTAGTTGAAAAAGGTGCTAAAAATATAATACGTTTGGACCCAATTTAGTGATTTTTTTTTATCTCGGTTTAAAAAAAATTCGTAAAAAAAAACAATTAAAACTATTTTTTAATTAATTTGGTGATTGTTTGACTTATTTTTGAAAAAATTCGTCAAAATAATTGTTTTTTTTGACTAAAAAAGGCAAAAATGATATAATTTCCAAAAAAACTTGAAAAAACTTTGTTCAAGCAAAAAGGTAAAAATAACAATATGTTTGACCAAATTTTGTGTTTTTTTGACCTATCTTTGACGAAATTTTGCGCAAAAACCAGTCAATTTAGCGATTTTTTTATCTTGGTTCAGAAAAATCTCGTAAAAAAGAAAACAAAACTATTTTATAATTAATTTGGTGATTGTTTGACTTATTTTTAAAAACATTCGTCAAAATAATTGATTTTTTTGACTAAAAAAGGCAAAAATGATATAATTTCCACAAAAACTTAAAAAAACGTTCTTCAAGCTTGAAAAAGGTAAAAATAACAATATGTTTGACCAAATTTTATGTTTTTTTGACTTATTCTTGACGAAATTTTGCTCAAAAACCAGTCAAATCGAGTGAAATAAATGAAACAACATAAATTTCGATGATTTTTGGAATTTTTGCAAAATAAATGAGTTTTTGCTTCAAAAAAGAACTAATTAAGCAAAACAAACTAGGATAATATAAATTTCGATGTTATTTGGTAATTTTTCAGCCAGTTCTATAACGAAATTTCTCAAAAAAAAAATTTTGAAACACTCAAAAGACAAAAATAACACCTTTTTTGGATTAACTTAGTGAATTTTGATTTGTTTTGAACAAAATTCTGCTTGTTTCTAGCTAAAAAAATGTGCTAAAAATGGCCAAACTGTTTTAATTTAGCGATTTTTTTATTTTGTTTAGTAAAGAAATAAGACCATTTTATACTGAACTTAGTGTTTTTTTGACATATTTTTGAAAAAATGTGTGGAAATAATTTACCTTACTGAAAAAGGTACAACAATCTTGAAAAAGATAAAAATGATAAAATTTTTGCAAAAACTTTTAGTTCGAAAAAACGTGCTTCGAAGGTTATTTTTGAAAAAATTCGTCAAAATAATTGATTTTTTTAATGTACCAAAAGGCAAAAATTATATAATTTCCACAAAAACTTCAGATTTTAGTTGAAAACGTTTTTCAAGCTTGAAAAAAGTAAAAATAACAATATGTTTCACCAAATTTTGACTTATTTTTGACGAAATTTTGCTCAAAAACCAGTTAGATCGAGTGAAATAAATGAAACAACATAAATGTCGATGATTCTTGGAATTTTTCCAAAATTAATGAGTTTTTGCTTCAAAAAGAACTAATTAAGCAAAACAAACTAGGATAATATAAATTTCGATGTTATTTGGTAATTTTTCAGCCAGTTCTATAACGAAATTTCTTAAAAAAAAATTTGGTACTTAAAAATGTATTTAAGAAGCCAAAAATAACACCATTTTTGGATTAAATTAGTGCATTTTGATTTGTTTTTAACAAAATTCTGCATGTTTCTAGTTAAAAAATGTGCTAAAAACGGCCGAACTATTTTAATTTAGCGATTTTTTGATTTTGTTTAGTAAAGAAATACTGAATTTGGTGATTTTTTTGACATATTTTTGAGAAAATGTGTGGAAATAATTGATTTACCTTACTGAAAAAGGTACAATCATCTTAAAAAAGACAAAAATGTTAAAATTTTTGCAAAAACTTCAAATTTTGATTCAAAAAAACGTGCTTCAATGGTAAAAATAAAAATATTTTGAGCAAATTTTGAGTTTTCCACTTATTTTTGACTAAATTTTGGTCAAAAATCAGTTAAATCTGGTGAAAAATGAATGTAATCAGTTGAACCACGACATATTGTGCAATGTTTTGTTGGTTTAAGAATTATAATAAAATGAAGAAGACTATTGTTTGTTAAACGACACATTCTCTTATTTTATTGAATTGTGTAACCGAAAAATCGCTTCCGGTTGTAGAAATTTCTTTTTAAAATTGTTCACATTTTTCAACTCGAAATTAATTCATGCGAATTTTAAGGAGAATTCTTGTTAATTACAGGAAACTACAATGGCGGACCCAAAAAATGTCAATGTGAACCATGCTTTATTGTCATTATAATTGACGTATGAAACTACAAAATTCGAAAGTTTTACTTGAAATTTGTCGATTTTCCGAAACAAAATGTCAGCAATATGTGTTTTTCTAAATTATTTTGATTTGTTGTCATTTTTTCTCTAGTTATCAGTACAAAAACCAAAAGTGAGGTTAGTCGCCTAAGGCCCGTTTTACATTTTTGTCAATCGTGTCGTCATGAATGTTTATTCGCCACTAGGGGGCGTCTCGGCGGGAAATTCAAAGTCAGTGTTTTTTTTTTCCAGGACTCAGGCTTGCCAGTCGACCTTGCCGTCCGCTACCAGATCAACATGGCCCTCGGTAGCATTAAAACAATTGCCAACGTTGACAAATTCGCCGACATGATCTTACCCCTCCTCTGGACCGAAATCGTGAGTTAGTTCGTCCTCAAACCTCCCTCAAATTTAATTTTCCCGCGTTGCAGAGACTCTACAGTTTACCGGAAGTCCTCGCCGCCCGTTTCCGCCTCTATTTGAACGTCTTGCCCCTGGTGGAAAACGGCATCATGTACTTCTTCTTCGCCGTCGGCTCTTGCTTCCTCCTCGCCTCAATTTACAAATTCCTCACCTCAAAATCCAAACGCAATGTTTACAACACGCACTGGATTGAGGACGACCTTGTCAACATTGAGAAGAAATTGTCGAATTATAAACCGAAAAAACGCGCCAGTATGAACGCGAAAGAACTCGAAGTGTATTTCTCGAGTCTCGTCGCCCCCTTGAACCAAGACCTCAATTGCAACGATTCCAACGACGAGGACGTCTAGGGTTTTATTCAATTTTTTAGTTACTTTTTTAATTGTGATCGTTATTTATTTATGTAGACTCCTGAGGTCCTTAGTGAATTTATTTTTTTAAGATTGGTACTGTTTCGTTCTAGAGACATGTCATTGTGATATCTAATGTAGATTAATGGCACGCCGCTATTTATATTTGCTCAATATCTTAGAGTTAGGGATTTTACAGAAATCACCAGCAGTATTTTTGTATCTATTTGTACATAGTTTAAAATAAACAAAATGGTAACAAGTCGAGTAGTATTATTTCGTACAAAAAACACTAAAAATCCACTTACAGGAAACTATAATTTTAACGTTGTCTTCCAATGACCAAAAATTTGTGTAAAAAATGTTTTATTTTTAACCTTGAATTTCAATAAAAAAAACACATTCATGTTTTTGAATCTCGTAAAAAAGAAAACAATTAATTTTTTTTAATTAATTTAGTGATTGTTTTACTTATTTTTGAAAA